TGTTGTTGAGTGTTGTGTCCTCACTCCTGACCATTTAACCTGCAAGTCAATAAGTCCTTTTGAGCATCATGCAACATGCCATAAATGAGGATACCAACTTTTTATATACTGTAGAAAACTATTCTTTGAGATAGTAATTCTTCGTCAAAACGATCATGCAAAACCAAATCAAAGCTCTCCCATGGTTTATAAATGCTATAAATGTTAGGAAGTTTATACGTCTAGTTAAAATTGGCCACAAAATATTCTCATGATAATTAGCTAAATACTATATGAAGCAAGAAAATGCAAGGCTACTAATTATTGCTACCTGCAATAATATATGCAACCCTCTTTTAGGGTTTAAAAATGTAGATGTAACCGAAATTTGACATGAATGTTCATCTAGCTGGGCTATTCTGCATGCTGCTAAATCTAAATTACAAGTTTCTGAACTGGTATATGCTAAGGTGTATACAACATAAATTTAGACGTAAAGCAGCATTGCTTAATATATGTACCTTATCCAATTTGCATGACTCGAGCAAAGCAAGGCGCTTATCTTGAATCCAGAGGACAATATACAAATGGAAGAGTTCTTTTGCATCGACTCCACCTTTGACAGGACTGAGAAGGAATAAAAATTAAGTGGGAAGAATTAAAATTAATGTAATAGCATTTGCATCAAGAAGCAGAACAATGACAAAAAAATTACTTAATATTCCAGCTGGCAAGATCCCTCTGAAAATCTGCTGTTGCAATGACAAGTTCGGCTACAGGAGGTGAGGGGCCTGCTGGAGGACATGCAATGAGGAATGCACGCAGTCTACTGCAAAGTTCTGCACTGTATATCGACGATGAAAGATTGGGGAGGTCTATAAAACTGTAAGAAAGAAAAAAGCCAAAAAAATCAACAAATGTTAGAAGTTCAGATGTTTCATATAAGATAACCAGATAAGCCACCACAAGAAAATACATGTGAGAAAAATGTAAATTATTCAAATATGTCTGCAGTCAAGAATTGTTCTTATATCCTGGATTCTGTGATTCTCTGTGTAGCATATCGATCAAGGCACCATTTGTAAGTTAACAAATGTTTCAACATGAACCTATTCTTCGATAATATGTACGACAGAGAGAGAGGAAGAGGGTGGATCTAGAGATTATTGGCAGGGATGGAAAAATTCCCCAATCCGGTGGGTCCCCCGCCCCATTTGTGGTGGGTTTGGGGACCCGTTTATGTAAATGGGGAGGGGATGGGTACCGTATTTGAAAACCCATCCGGGGGCGGGGGGTCCCCACCCCGTTTATAGTGCGATTTCACAAAATTGCCCTTGCATGTTATGAAATAACGCTGAATTATATGTGGCTTTGCTACAAGTTTAATCAGGTTGGAAAATGTTATAGGCGTGCAGCTTGATCAGTTTGAAATGATCATGTTTTAAACTGTTCTAGCTATGCTGAAGCTTTATTAGGTTGAAAAATGTTATGGCTGTGTTGATTCTGCAGAAGCTTGGAATTTTTAAAAAGTGTTATCTCGTTCCCCATCCCGTTGCCATCCCTAATTATTGGCATTATATTATAGTATGAAAAAAAACTAGTATTAACTTGATACAAATCAAAACTAGCTATACAAGTTATGTAAAACATAAAAAAACTTAGAATCACTGCAACAGCAGAGATAAGACAGTGGGGATCAATTTATATATCTATCTATAATATATATGCCTCTGCAAGAGTCAGTAGTATGCAGAAGATCTTCTTCACCTTTAAGTTACAAGAACATGAAAAAAAAACATTGAATGAATGATCAAAACCCTTTTTATTTCTGAAATGTTAAAAAAGATAGTAAAGATAAAAAGGGAGTATCTTCTTTATAGAATATCAGAATAGCATCATGCAGTATCCTAGTAAAAAAAATCACCCAACTAACAGTTTGTCATTTGATGTGCCTTCTTTAATTATTTTAAATTGGCATAACAGATGCCGTATCAGTCCAGTTTGACAATTTCATGACTCCTGTTAATGGCCTAAACACATAAAGATAAATTATTTTCAAATCCCAACTTCGAGTCCAAAGACATTGATGATCCATCACTCCTGTTAACAGCCTAACCGCACAAAGATTAATTATTTTTAAATCTCAATTTCGAGTCCAAAGACAATGATGGATACTGACAATAAACAAGCCTCCTCTATACACATAAACCGACACTACCAATAATAAAGGTGGAATCCAATATATACCAAGAAATAAAAAGTGGAATCCAATCTGTGGTATTTGACATAAAGAGATTTTGCAGCAATCTGGTATCTCCACAACAATTAACAAAATAGCAGTGTGATATCAGTATTCCTCTTATACAAGTATATTCCTTGAAACAACACGACAAAAATTGGAGACTAAAGCATCTCAAGGACACAAAAGAAAAGTTGACAAAAAGAAAAAAGGTAGGCCAAAAGGAAGTAACAATTATAAAGCACCATAATTGGTAAGTGGAATAACAAGATACTCAATGCATACAAAACCAAATATACCGTAGATAAACATCAGAATTTCACTTGCCAGTTATTAGACTATACGCAAGATGTTCTTAAAATATACCAACAGAATATAGCATTGAAAGCAATATAAAAATAGAAGACAAATATTTAGAGGGCTCATTTAAATCTTTTAACTTCATAAGTATTACTTATTTATCACTTTTTCCAATACTTTCCCTTCAATATCTTCAGAATAATGACTCTATTTGGTCTTTATGGAAAAAATATCAAGGAAAAGTTGAATCCTCTGATGTCAGATGGGCCAGCATTGTTGATAGTGCTGATTGAAATATGTATGATCTATGCGATTGAAAAATTAGCATAAAATGAGATTAAAAAGTGCTTTCTTTTTCAACTGTATGCAAAACACTACTATAAATTTTCCAGTACTATTTCCAGTATCTACTAATCCAAACAGAAAATGGAGCTCATACATTTTAAAAGAACCTACATCAAAGCACATAGGAAAATTTTAAAGCAAGTGCTCTCAAACTCTGAAATCCAGTCAACGTGGAATTTCTAACTAATTACATGCTCTGACTTTTTAGTAATACAAAAAAAAATAACTGTAATACTTCTAGAAATATTTGGTTTCTCAGAATGGCAACACTAGGAAATTCATTACTAATTAGGTTTTGGCCAATACGTTAAGATTTGACACACCAAGATGTCATGAGAATAAGATTTTACTAATTAGGTTTTCTTATATAATGAAAACTATGACTTTGACACTCAGCCCCATGCAAAAGATAATACTTTTATCGATCATCTTTTACAAAGTAAATTTGACTCCCTTAGACGGTGAAATGTTGGGCAGAAGATCAAGCTGCATAACATGAGTGGTCAAATTAACTATTTCCTTACACTTCAATATTGTTCATTCGACACGGAGGAAGAAAATTTACCTGGGAAGTATATGTTGATTGTGGATCTCTATATCAGTAGAAATTTCATTTTTGATGTTCAAACAAAGGGATTTCATCTTCTGATAAGCAGTAGAAATAGTAACAGTATCCATCAAAATGCCTTCACTATTGCCGGCAACAAACTCATCCGTCTCGGTTAAGTGCCTTCTTGATCTCTTCTTTGCAGCAGCCTGGGGATACACAACAAATTACTAAAAACTTAGAAACTTGAACAAGCATCACTATGTTTACGTAAGTTTCACAGACCTGGAAATGGCTGCACAGTTTATTCTGTGCTTCAGGAGATAATACATCATGAAGAAGAGTATACAGCTTTACAGCAGGCTCCAACACAGGTGCTGCAAGTCCAGTTGCAGGCCTGAAAACATCCATAATCCCAGATGGTGCTGCCTCATCCAGTGACTTGTAGTTCTCAAAAACCAGAGCAAGGATCTGTTCAATTTGATCTTCTGTTTCTCCTAAGATACGGTTCTAGCAACGCAGACCCCAAAAAGCAGTGTCAGAAGAGATAAAAGACTCAGGAAGATTATTTTAAACTGAAACTTGGCCGTATAGCACAAAATCAACTGGGAAGATAAGAAATGTAGAGTGCTACATATGTAATGATAGTAATGGTAGCAATAATATTAATAATAACAATAGTTTTAAACTGAAAAATTGGGTTGTACCTCTTGATGGCTCAATGTGCTCTTAGTGTGGCCCTTCATAACTATGGGCAATAGCAAATCATACACAAGCGTGAGACAGTCAGCTGTAGGCGTAGCCACATCCATGACATAAGAAAGATACCTAGAAACATGCATCAAAGAGGATCATTACCAAAGCAAAATGCTGGGTAAAGAAAAAAGTTAGTCTAAAACAATTCACTGCATAACTTAACCCAGTAGAGACAAATTCCAGTACCTTAGCTTTGTGTATGCGTCGGAAACCCCATAATATAATGCAAATTCAGTCAGTAACCACTTCCATTGTCCATGAAGCAATAAATTTCTTTGTTGAAAATGCTGCACTTTCATTGCAACTTCTAATACCAGATCATACGCCACAGTTTCTGCAACAGAGCCACACTACAGACCCAAAAAATAAGAGTTCAAATTATAAACCATTTTGAAGACACGATAATAGGAAGATTCCACATCCTTAAATTCAAACAACAAAAAATATTAAAATGGTTATTCCAGGTTCAAAGAATAGACAATAAAAATAAACTCTACTATGATGGACTTTAACATTGACTAAAAATAATGTCAGCAATAAAAGGATATACATATACTTTTAGGCAGCCTTTCATTGTGATGTCATAGCGTCTATGAATAAAAGGGTATATGTCTGAGTCTTTCTATAAAGAATCAACACTATGATAAAAAAAATTAAAGATACTGAGTACTTAAAAATAAAAGAATAGAATGATACTGATACTCATCATGTTCATAGTATATGTCAAAACGGTATTTGAGCGAAGATCTCCCTTTCAATTCTTGATTAACAATTCGAAATTGTAATGACCCACTCCGCCACATGGTATGATATTGTCCGCTTTGGGCCTGAGCCCGCAAGGTTTTGCTCTTGGGCTTTACCCCAAAAGGCCTCATACCAATTGGAGTGACACACCTACATATAAGCACTTCACCTTTCCCTTACCCAGGCAATGTGGGATTGTGCACCCGTAACTCGCCAGTGTGGTAGCCTGCTAGTGTCTCGCACTCGTCCACGGCACACAAGGTCATCACAATCCACCCCCCTTGGAGGCCCGACGTCCTAGTCGGCACACTTCTGACTGGATCAGGCTCTGATACCATTTGTAATGACCCACTCCACCACATGGTATGATATTGTCCGCTTTGGGCCTGAACCCGCACGGTTTTGCTCTTGGGCTTTACCCCAAAAGGTCTCATACCAATTGGAGTGACACACCTACATATAAGCACTTCACCTTTCCCTTTCCCAGGCGATGTGGGATTGTGCACCCGTAGCTCGCCAGTGTGGTAGCCTGTCAGTTTCTCACACCCGCCCACGGCACACCCGCCCACGGGGTCATCACAATCCACCCCCCTTGGAGGCTCGACGTTCCCGTCGGCACACTTCCGGCTGGGTCAGGCTCTGATACCATTTGTAATGACCCACTCCACCACATGGTATGACATTGTCCGTTTTGGACTTGAGCCCGCACGGTTTTACTCTTGGGCTTTACCCCAAAAGGCCTCATACCAATTGGAGTGATACACCTACATATAAGCATTTCACCTTTCCCTTTCCCAGGCGATGTGGGTTGTTACAAATGGTATCAGAGCCTAACCTAGCCGGAAGTGTGCCGACGAGAACGTCGGGCTTCCAAGGGGGGTGGGTTGTGATGACCCTGTGGGCGGATGCGAGGCACTGACAGGCTACCACACTGGCGAGCTAGGGGTGCACAATCCCACATCGCCTGAGAAAGGAAAAGGTGAAGTGCTTATATGTAGGTGTGTCACTCCAATTGGTATGAGGCCTATTGGGGGTAAAGTCCAAGAGCAAAATCGTGCGGGCTCAGGCCCAAAGCGGACAATATCATACCATGTGGTGGAGTGGGTCATTAAAGAAATAAATGAAAAAGTGGAAATGTACACAAATCCCTCAACAAATTGTCAAAAATGTCACTCCAAAATCATCTTTCGTTCATTAACAGAGTGAGTCATTCCCAACCCATCTAATATGGCACAGAAAGCAACCTGGTACACTCAAGACAGCATTACTGGAGGATCCTAATTTTGCAGATGCTTCACACTACTACTATTAAACTTTAATTGAATTATGATGAAACAACTTCAAACATAAATTTCATAAGGACCAAGGCAGATGCTATTTTATAGAGAGCATAGGGGCTCACCTTAAGATTACTGTTTTCATCTAGAATTGTTGAATAATTTATGTAAAGCTGTACTCTTCCAACAAGCTCATGCTCTGGTTCACGATAAATAGACCACCAGCGTAGTTTGTCACCCTGCAGTAATCTTTAATATAAGCATCACATCAAAACAATCTGCATTACCAACAAATATTTGCAACTAAAGGGTTTAGGGAACTTCACTGGATCTTCTGCAATAGCAGCCACTTGAGCATGGACATGACCATATTGCTTCCCCTTGGAATCCTGGACTTCAACAATTAAATCATCCCCTAGGCTATCTGGAAAGCTGTAAAGTCGTCAATACCAAGACCTTTATCAGGCAGCTTGATATATAAAAGAAGATGAAGAATGGAAAGAATACATACAATAAATGGGTTTCACCAGATCCAGGTTGCATCCGAATGGCATCCTCTTCACTTGAACTTTTTAGCCGCAACAAGCAAGAGTGTGTTTCTGATGACATTCAGAAGAATCACTTTCTATTAAGAATTAATGTACAGTTATATCAAGTAACTATGCATTTAAAGGCTCAACATGTCAGTAACCCAAACAGCAGACGGTTAACTAAATGGGCTTTGGGAATAAATCCGCGAATCCAATATCATATGCTTATATGTCATCTAGAAATGTCCGTTATCAAGATGGACACCAACAGCTTCAAATTCCATGGCATTCCAGTGCCTACAACTAATAAATTTCAAAATAAATTTGTGATTTATGGTATTTGATATTCACAAAAAGGAGGCCATCAGAGTCCAAATATTCAGCGAACACAGCTTAGATGTCCAATAGTTGTGTCTCCAAGATGGTAAAACTAATATAATGCTCGTGCATGATTTACAAAGCAGAATCAATATACCTTGCACTACTTCATAAGATGAAGGACTGCTGCGCAGAGTTGTAACGCCAACTTTGAGGAGTCCAGATACCTGTTTTACATACTGAGCACTTGCTTGCACATATGCCAAACTCTGGCGAGGAAAAGAACCATTTGCAGGTATACGAGGTACAAAACGGATTTTCCGCACTGCTTGCCATCCAGAAGAAAGTGTTGAACGTAAACTAGAGAAGTGGTATCGAACAGATTCTAGTTTTATTTTTGGTGTCCTTAGGGATGAAAAACTGCAGCCTGTGGGTGGGTCCAGACCCATTTTAACCTTACGAACTGCACAATTAATAAATTTCAGGATGGCTTCATTGCCAGAAACCAATAATTGCCCAATGAAAATGTCCAATATGGAGATGAAATACTACCTTGCACCTTCATCTTTCCAACCATTTTCTTAGGTTTTGGGGCAGATCCCTCGTTAGAGAGCTCTGAAGTGCGCTTCATCAATAGTTCCTCTTCTGATTGTAATAGCACTTGCTGCAAACTGTAGTAAAAAATGAAATTGAAAGATTGGAGTAAAATAACTGGAACATCATAGAAGTATCACTCTTAGGTCCAAGATTAACATACAATACCCCTGTAATATGTATAACAATGAACACTAAGTGACATAACAACCATATATTTTACACTGCCAAAATAAGTTCGCATGATTGTAGAATTTATTGGATATACAAAAACTTAGTACAATTACTTTTATAAGCATAAAAGTTGACAAATTTAATCCTCCGCAATACTAGAATAAAAAACAATTTACAGCTGGCTTCACAATTGTTCATCATTTTTAGACTTCCCTGAAAATTTATTCAGGTAGCAGAGTTTTGAAGTTAAAAAGCTTGCAGTAATCATATGTTACTCTAAAGTGGTGTATAAACTAAATAGGTTTTAACTGGTAAAGGATGCAGCCAGCTAAGATGAAGGTGCTTGATGATTAGAAGTGATAAATAATATATCGAACAGATTCGAAAATAGAAGTCCACAACAATACATTCAAAAAAGTCACTGAGGTTTCACTCATGCGGTAAAGGGGTAAGTTGGATTAATAAATAGACAAGCACTGTTGAAGATGTTATAGGGCCTTAAATGATGATTAATAAAGCACCAAAAAGATAATGCAACAAAAGTTGGTGCAATGTAATTAATTGTAAGAGTTACATTTGCAGATGAAAATAAGGGATATAAATAACAAATCTAGAATCTAAAGAGAAGGTCTAACAAACTAAAATAGGCAAACCATGATTCTAATTGCTGGAAACACACAACTGAGGTAATGCGCTATGGATTATTATTACTTTAAAAAATATTCTCTATACTCTAGCCGGTTTGATCAAGTTTTTTTTTTTTCCACGAAGAGTTAAAAGGATGAAGAACTAAAAAAAGAAAACAAACAAATAAATCTACCAGCTTGCTTACATTTTGCTTTCCTACTATCGGCATAATTAAATTATTTATATTCTGATTCAGTCCACTTAATCAAAATTGTAGTTTTACTCCTCAGTGGGAACAAGAGTTTTAGCCACTTATATCATTGTAATATTTTTTCCCCTGAATTATCAATGTGACATTCGCCTAAATATACCTTGTCATGCTTTTAAATAAATATCATGTTTGCAGACATCATTAGAAAATGAAACAGAAAGCCTTTCTAAATTATGACATTGTGAAAAATTAGGATAAGAGATTAAACTCACCCAAATGCATTTCGCAACAGAGCACATTCATTTTCCAGAAACATGGGCGCTTCCATGCATTGCCTTGCCCAAGCATGAAGGCAAAGTCGAACACAAGCGTCATATGCAATCACAGCATGCCATGGCCCTTGCGCACTGAATTTAAATAGCACAACATGCAAGTACAAGTGATGAAAATTATGAAAGCACATATAATTGTCAAATCCATATTCAGAATGCTATATCTCAGCTGAACTTCATCTAAATTATCAGTAAAAAATACCTTGCATGAAATGTAGGGAGGCGAGCTGGAAATGAACCTGAAGGTGTACCACTTTCTATGCCAGCAGCAGTCCTATGAAAAAAACAATATGGTAATTCTTTTGACCCAATTGAAACAATAGGAATAAAATGTGTTTAAGCATGTGAATATGCCTCACGATCTAAGTGCTATATAAGGTTTCTATGGAAGAAAATAGCAAAATGCCATACAGACCTGACAGACGGGTCAGGTATCTTCTGTCCAGCATTATCCTGTGGATAAACCCGAGCAGCCTGAGCAGGTATGCTTTCCGAAATATTTTTTTCATTTCTGACAGAAAAATCATCTGAATCAGCTACACGAGGTGTGCACCGTTCACTACGCATTGGACTTTGTTCAGTTTTTATGGCAGAACCACAAAAAGGAGGAGCACTTGGAATATCATCATCAGAGAGCCTTCCATTCTGCAAGTTTTTAGCATGTAATTCCTGCCAAATAGTATCCACAAAGCAAGTCATTATCTACATTTGAAGTGACCATTACGAAAGCAAATGTCACTGGTAATAAGTTATATCAAGATGATTCACCACAATCACACATCAATTATAGAAGAAAATGTTAAATTTTTAATAAATAAATATCTATTAAGCATTAAAGCAATGATACCAAGAGAGATGGGATACAAAAACCAAATTATGACGCAACTCCAAAGAACACAATATTCTATACAATCACCTATCATTCAGCACTTAAGAAAAACCAAATGGCACTTAACATACCTTTTCAGGAGCACTTTCCCCATTCATCCATGAAGGAATACTAGATGAATACCCCTCGGAAGCATACATAGTTGAGCGAGGCACGGGTCCATTCTTACTACCCATTTGTGAGGTTGAAAATTCAGAGCTAGTGGGAGAATCTGAGGACTCGTCCTCAGTGTGAATCGTATGACCATTCGTTCCAACCGGGTACCGATTGGCTCCCCTCATAAGCCTCTCCGCCACATTTCCATGCCCTCTATCAAGAGTTTCCCTAGACGAACTAACATCACCGGAGTACATAGAATCACTGGCATAAGCCGGTCGCCTCTGTGAAGGATTGTAGTATCTTCTAGCAGCAGCATTTGTAGGAACTCTATCATCCTGTGGCGACGACGAATCAAGCGAGTATCTTCCCCCATAAACCTCCTCTTCTTCTGAATCAGTGGTTAGACCATTCTCAGAGGCAGAGCCACTATCATCCACATCACCGGGCATGACTCGTGATACTGGAATTACCCCGGATAAATGCCCACTCACGAATTTCGATGGAGGAGGCAATCTAACACCTTGAGTACCACCACTCCGCGTGTTAAAAATGGGATCAACTCGAGGTCTTAGGTTCGACATTGAGTAAGGAACTTCCTTCTTCTGATTAACAGAACCCTGAATTTCAATTTCCATTCTAAATATCATGAAATCTTAATAAATCAAACAAAAATCCATTCACAGTGCAAAATGAACAATCAGTACTCATAAAAATTATAACAACTTCAATCTTTTAATCACAATGCACCAAAATCATGAAATGTAAATAAATCACAATAACCCATTCACAGTGCAAAATGAACAACCAATACTCATCATATATATATATTACAACTTAAATCTTGAAGCCTACAAGTAATTTAATCAAAATCCATATCACAAGCAATATTCATTCTATCATCAAAGGTAAATAAATCAACAACAACCCATTCAGTGAACAAAATCAACAAAGCAATATATTCATAAAAAAATTACAATTTCCCATATTTAAGGCAGAAATTAGATGAACCAGAACCCATTTCACAATGCACCGCGAGAAATCAAAATTTAACACCCCCCAAAAAAGGAAACAGAAGAAAAAATAAATAAATTGAAAGGAAAAAAACAATTGAGTATGTAAAACTGACCTCTCTAACCCATCGTCGACCATTGTTGTCAAGTCCTTCAGTGAACATATTTGCACAGGGTCTTTGTATGTACACAAGAAAATATATAAAAATCTTCTATAAAGCAAAACTATACCCGCATACTAATCCAAATTTAGAGTTTCAATGGCTTCTTTTGATGTAAATCAACTTAGATCAACCAAAACCAGAGCGATACAGGGTAGAGAGAGAGAGAGTGAGGGTAGTGGTGAAATCTGATATAGAAAGAGAAAAAGTAGAGAGAGAAAGAAAGAGAGAAGGAGAGGGGGGTAAACTTTGAAAGACTGTACGTAACCGAGAAGGGAGAGAAAAGCTCGCGAGTCCCCAAAAGTCCTTTTCGCTCAGCTCTGTAATGTGGAAGTAGTAGAGTACACCAAAAGCTTTGCTGTAGTTGGAATTTGGGGTGCTTTTTCTCCCACTACACTACCACTTTCTCTCTCTAGATTTATTATTCATTTGATTCAATTTTTTCAAGGATTTTAACAACGGAGACCGAATCTTTGAAAACAAGACATCCTTTAATATAGCACCTAATAGTGTACCTAATGTCTCAGGCTCACAACACGACGTCGTTCCAACAATATCAGCAAGATTGTCCGAAATATTCGAAAACGTCTGTGTGTGGAGTTGAACGTGGCAAGAGAAGCGGCGTATGAATCGAACGTTGGAGTCGTACACATAAATCCAAACACGCCTTTATCATTTGTTACATTTTCTCACTTCTGTACAAGAATCGTCACATGGGGTGGTTGGTGGACCCCACTGTATAACATGCCTAACATAAATACGTATGGTGTGTGTGTGTGTACTACGTATTACATGGCTAAATTACACTAATTGAGGCTTGACCTGTCTTAAATCACTGTAAAAAGTTTAGTAATATACTTATATTATAATAATATATAATATTATATTTTGTCATTTTATAAAATTTGATCAACAACTTTATAAAAAAAAAAAAAAAAAAATTTGAGCATATGTAAAAAAATTCAGAATGGGTCAAATTAATAAATTCTGAAAGAACTTTAGTTTCTCATGAAGCATAAGGTTTAAAGTTCGAATCCTATTGAGTGCAAACTATTTATAGAGGGGGTGTGTGAGAATACCAACTTGGAATAAAAATAAAGATTGAACGGTCTATCCGTCCATGTGTAATTGGCCCAAACCTCATGGGATCGAGGTCATTGCGATTTACCCTATATATATATATATATATATATATATATATATATGTTTCAGCTTGATGATATGATTACTCCTTTCCAAAGGAGTGTTAATTATTTTTGTTGGATTATATTGTAAGGTTTGTCGTGGTTGCCTTCACTTACCCAAATGAAAAAAATAGCTAAGAGGTTCAAGATCTTCCATCTCGATTTGATGACAGAGAAACTGTTTAAGTTCATGAATTTTCGTTATATCATCAACATAAAGTAAAAAAATAATGAAACCCCGATTAGTGTGTCGGATGAATAAAAAGTCATATGAGCCAATAGAGTATCCAAGATAAAAGATAGTTAGCAAAATTAAGCAAACCAATCTCGAAGTGCTTATTTGAGATCATACAGTACATCTGAGTCGATACACCTTTATTGGGAGGATAATGATAACCTAAAGGATGATGCGTGTAAACTTCCTCGAATAAATTATCATTGAGAATTGCATTCTTAACATCCATCTGAAAAAGTTCCTAATGACGAAAACAACCACAATAACTAGAGTGAATAGAAGGAATGCATGCAACATGAATAACTATCTCCTCAAAGTTACTGCCATACTCTTTTGTGAATCATTCAGTTACAAGTAGGGTCGTATTGTGCTCCACAGAACCATTTGAGCGAGTCTTAATCTTGTATACTGCAACAAACTTTTCAAAAGGCAAATCAACCATATCTCATGTCTACGTTTCGGCTAGTGCATCTTCTAACCTTATGTGATATTAAACAATGAAAAAAGAGTTCGGACAAAATCATTTTCAAAAGTATTTTATGAAAATGTGTGAAATATGTTGTTTTAAACTTTTTAAGTGAATAAATGTTTTGGAATAGTCCAAAAAAAAAAAAAAAAAAAAAAAAAAACTAAATTGAAATAGAGGAAGTACATGAGTTGATGATTCAACTTTTGTTACGGAGTGAGCTTGAAAACTAAAAAAGTGAAATGTCTTTATATAATAATAATATATTATATTGCATATAAGGTAGTTCTTGAAAAACCTTTCCAACTAATATATTCTATTGACGGACATTCTAAATTTACAAATTAATGGAATTCACTCAATTAAATGATTGGGTAATTTTTATTTGGATCTCCTGAAGTATGTCTATACATCAAATTGACTCCCTTAAATTTGCATAATTTCAGTTAAACCCCTACTCAAATATAGTAGGGTGATCAAGTCAATTGAGGGAACAAAATGACTGATCTACCCTCATTGTTATTTTACTCCAGAACAAACAACGTGTCACATTGATCACTAGGGAAAGGTTAGGAAATTAAAATTAGTCACTAAATTTTTATTTTTGAAAATTAAATTTGTTTGTTAAATTAAATTTTACAAAGATTAGGAATTGAAAGGATTTAAATTTTTGATTTTATCAAATCAGGATCCACTAGGTAAAGGTTTAAATTAGTCACTAATTTTTTATATTTGGAAATTAAAGTTTACAAAGGTTAGGAATTGAAAGGATTTAAATTTATGATTTTATCAAATTAGGATCAACTGAGGAAAGGTTTAAATTAATCACTAATTTATTTTTTAAAAATTAAGTTAATTTTGGGAATTAAAATTTACAAACGTTAAAGGATATACATTTATGATTTTATCAAATTAGGATCGACTGTGGAAAGGTTTACATTAGTTATTCATTTTTTATTTTTGGAAATTAAATTTGTTTTGGGAATTAAAGTTTACGAAGGCTAGGAGTTAGTTGAAAGAATTTAAATTTATTTTATGAAATTAGGATCCACTGAGGAAAGGTTTAAATTAGTCCACTAAATTTAATTTTTAAAAATTAAATTTATTTGAAATAATTTGCAAAGGTTAGGAATTGAAAAGATTTAAATTTCTAATTTATGAAATAAACTGTAATTTTAATAAATAATATTCTATTTGGAGTGAATAAATTCAGAGTCCAGGGAAATTGGAGAGAAATCGTAAAGGAAATTGGGGGATTGAGAAGGGTATTCTTGACTTTATGATTTATCCTTTCGATGAAGTCAGCACAAAACATCTTTGAAGGGGGAATCCCTGTATGCAAGGCTTCATTTTCAAATTCAATACAAACACATATTACACACACATTAAATAGGTACGTAGCTATCACTCTCCTCTGCATAGTCCATACTGTTTTTTTGACAATGACAGTAAATCCACAGGCCAAAAAACAAAATGAAATAGAAGGTTCCATGGCTAGTTAAATTTACTCTACTCATCCAACGGTCGAAAGTGAGGTGGCAAAAGAACTGTGATTATAAATTGTGTGGGTCCCAAAAATTACATTTGATTTTGTTTTGTACAAACCCTTAAGATATTCAAGTCCAACAAACGCATGATCATTTATTATTATTTTGAACAGAACATAGTGTATATTTGAATTTTGTGTGATAGATAGTGTTCAGTGGATGGTCCCGGTTGAGATATAGAAAAATCATAAGAATATAAGACACTTTAATTTGAATTTTTTTGAATCAAATGTGACTCTTTTTCTTTCTTTTTTATTTTTTAAAATTTTTAAATTGATTCAAACCCACAGCCCATCATGCATGGTCCACCCACTCTGACCCCACACATAAACCATGACTGCCAATCATATGCTTTGTTACATTTTAAGTTTTTTAAATTTGTTACAACTGTTTGGATAATAAATGATTTTAGCCGTGAGATCTATTTTTTTGAATTTATTTTAATTTTATTTATTTATTTATATCATTTGTATGGAACCGAAATAGATCTCACGGCTAAAATTTCACTTGATTTAGTCTCTCGGTCTCTCAAATGATTTTGAAAGTCTTTTTCTAGTTTTTTTTTTTTTTTTTCACTTGTTTATTGATGCAAAATGAGATTGTTAAATTCAAATAGAAAGGGGAAAATAGAGGGGGGTATAAGATGAAAGAGGAAGAGGAGGAGGAAGATGATTCAAAAGCCTTGTTTGGTTAAGAATAGCGAAGGGATGGATAATATTTAATTCAAAAGTAGGAGAAAAAGAGAAAGAAATCAATAAATTATCTTTCCTCTTTTTCTTTTTAACAATATATATATATGTGTGTATATATATAAATATGTCCTTTATTTTTGTTACCCAATTGGCAATACCCTTTTTATTCTTCCTCAAATAAAATGTGAGTAACACTCATTTCTTTATCCGAGGGATAACTCTCCATTATTTTTACCAAATATAAATCAAACCATATAAGAATTTGTCTTGAGATAAGGAATTGGGTCAATAATATATATTTTAATTTTTAATTTTTCTCTTTAAAAGTAATTATGCAATATTTGCTTACCTTACTAAAGCTATTCTATTATTGATATAGTGTAACGTGTGAGTATATGAACACTACTAAAAACAAAAGAAAACGACAACTACTATTATAACACAAGATAATATATAGTTGCAAGTGGCACCATTTTTTTTAGCGGCTTCCATGGAATTTCTACTTGTATTATTATTATTATTATTATTATTATTATTATTATTATTTATTTTTATTTTTCTTTAGTATAGACTGAAGTGAACATAAAAAAATAAAATAATAAATAAATAAAAAAATTTATCAGCAAGGATTTTAGAAATTATAATTTTTTTTTATCAACCTTAATAGTTGAACCAATTACCATCTTTCTACTTTCAAATTACACAATGTAATTAACAAAGAGACCAGGAATATATTCACACACATGCATTGTCGGTCGTTTTCACTTGCAGACTAAAATAGCTCTCCTGTTCCAATTATTGTTCAATTAGACCATCCCAGAGTCTTGTCTCAATGTCTTTCAATTGAAGTGAGATGATGACCTGGTTACAACACTTTACATTAAAACCTTTCAAAACCATTACCACAATTGGCACCATCAGTATTGTTAAAGGCGGTCTAGACTCGAGGCGTAAATTTAGCGTCTGTTATCATCTCAGGCTCACTGATGTTTATCAGGTGCGCCTCAATTGCGCCTCATCCCAGTTTGTTAGGTGCGCAACGTCAATGATTTTTTTTTTTTTTTTTAAGAACTATGAATATTCTATTTCTTAAGCCAAAAAAGGTATTTTTGGCAATTTAATAAACAAATAAGAAAGTTCAAGCTTGCAAGAGAAGAAACTTTTGTTCAAAAGAATAAACAAATAAGAAAGTTCAAGAGTCAAAGTGTTAACCGAATAGAGAAAGAGTGAGATTGTGAGACAAATGGCGAATCTCTAGTTGCAGAGATGAAACGCCCAAGCCAGGTTAGTTCTTATTTATTTATTTTTTATTTTTATTTTTTATGATTAGCAGATTTTTTTCTTATTAT